CATCATCTACGACACTAGATCTGGCTACAACACCACGACTGGGGTGTTCACAGCACCAGTGAACGGCACCTACATGTTCTGGATACAGTTGGGCATTCGTCCCCTATGGTATTATCCACCCACTTCGATCAAACAATCAGGAAAGACAATTGGCAGTGGTTGGGCTTCATTTTCTTCTTCTGGTGAGGGCGCAGTTTCCGCTACATGTGTCAGTCATCTGCAGAAGGACGAGGAGGTGTGGGTGCAGTTTGAGCAGTACGGTGGAAAATTTCCAGAAACAGTCACCGTTCTTTCAGGCAGCTATGTAGGGGATCCTACATCCTACTTTGGTGGTGCCCTTTTGACAATGGACTAATTTCATTACAGGACATCTGCTTGAACATTGTCTAATGGTCTAATTCATGAAAACTTCATGGGCCTTGCAATCGTAAAATACTTGTACTGGCAATCAAGAGCGATCTGACTTTCTAAAGTGTAATTATAAACTGATATGTTGGATGAATTCCATCTTATTTAGCACACTTATCGACAAATCGAAGCCATACCAACACGCATCATGCGCGCCAGCATAACGTTTAGGAACAATAACGGCTGCAGTTGTCAACTGATTTGGGGCGATGGGATAGCCTAGTAGTTAAAGCCTTCGCTCGTCAAGCCGAAGGCCCGGGGTGGATTCCCACCATGGGTAGAATGTGTGAAGCCGATTTCTGGTTTCCCCCGCGATGATATTGATGGAATATTGCTAAAAGCGGCGTATAACTAAAGCCACTCACTCATCATCAACTAATTTTATTAAACATAGAAGTCAGCACAAAAGAATGTCCTGTTTTCATTATCCACAGAAGCAAATTCCGTTTGTTTGGTGTAAAGGAAAAAAATGGATGTGAAAAGTATATGAATGGATCACTGAAAATCAGTGACACCAGCTGCAGGTGTTCGCGAAAAGGATAAGCTTGTTCTGCCCTACAAATATTGTATAGTGTGTTTCTGACGAATACAACATGCAAAGTATCCTTCGTGGCGCTACGATAGCTTTGTGAAACGGGGCCCTGGAACCTAATCCTGATCGATGTGTCCAATTGACGTGATCTTCAGCCCAATCCAGACGTGCCTGCGTGTGATACTGGATCCATAGGATTCGGATGAGACCAGCCTCGCGGAGACGATTGTGCACTGTTTGAGCTGAATCAACGTCATTAACGTACCAATGGTCATTCCTGAGTGTGGTGGCTGTCACAAAGTGATGACGTCTTGCTGCAGTCAAGAGGAGCTGTCTTACCACTGTCTGTTACAACGCTGTCGACCACATGTCACTGGGTAGCTGACCTAAACGTCAGGTATCGATTCTATGCCCTGCTGCTCACACTTTGACGGACACCAAAGACATTGTGCTGACCATGTTTAAGCGTGCCCATGCACCTACCTAGTCCTTCAGTCACCAAACGACGTCTTTAACGCTGTTAAGTCGCTATAATCCTGTGAGGTAAATGACGTTATGCTTCTCTGACAATAGTGCGCAACGATTCTGTTACGTTCTCCAACTCCTTATTGACATACAAAAAACACTTCCACAATATGGTAAGCTGTACGGTGCACCAACTGTGAATAACGATTCTGTTACGATATATCCAAACAGAGGTTTTCAAGCACCTCGTGCACACGGTGCTCATGATCAGGTATTACATTCTTCTGAAAACTTACGGTGACCTATATTCTGCAGGAATAGGGTCTGTAAACAGGCCATGGCACTTCGTGAGACCTTAGTACTTCCGGCGACAAACTACGTTTCATACCTTTTCGATTGGTTACATGGTTCTCAGTTGACAGTAAGGAACTGATAATTCTTGCAGAAATATAACATTTCCGATCTAACCATCTCCAAATTAGTCAATTATTACGAATGTCCACAGATGTACCAGCCAAGCATTGTCACACTTGGTCCGGTCTTGTGAAGTCATTTTTGGCGGTCGCGCAATTTAGAATCAGAACTGTTTCTTTAATATACGCTTGTCACCAGGATTCGGGTACCAGAAGTAAGCTTGGCCCCGTCTGACATATCTCAAGTTGGGAACCAGCTTAGTACCGAAAGTAGCGCCTCGCGAGACTTACAGGCCCTATTATCTTATGCCATCTCTCCCAATGTCGATCAACACTATCGTGTCGTATGTTAATAAAACATCTTCCTAGTCGGCTGTTGTTGGCCTCGGCATGAATTCGACTTTGCAACAGCTACAACAAAGTCAATGCCATGTATGTCGTGTACAAACCCGGTTCGCCCATGTTATATTTCCTGGATTTGTCCACATCAAAAGGGGCGCGGTGGGGTAGCCTTGTTGTTCACGATTATACATTGCAACAGATAAGACTCTTTGAGGTAGATCAGCACGATTATCTCATGTGGAGTGCGAAGTCCATTTCTGGTGTGTCTTGTCATGATATTGCTGAAATATTGCTAAAAGCGGCGTAAAACTAAACTCACTCACTCATGAGGACCGTTATGCTCAAGCCTGTGTCGCAGAGAGGAATCGCTTCGGGGAGGTTACGTGAACTGGGGAGGGATAAGTGCTCATCGGGAAACCCCTTTTAAAACAGCTGCTGTTTAGCGCAATTTGAAAGGTGTGGGCTACAGAGATAAGATTTTCGGACCAGTTGCAATACAGTTTCTTCAACGTCATGATTCAAGATTGACAATAACCATGACATGCCATTCCACCAGCCTCCAGTGACCATCTGATTGACTATATGCGTGGGCGATGCCGGTCTCAAAGTTCACGGTGGGCGTACCCGTTATTGGGTTTGTGACCACTGGACATTAATTTCGAAAGTATTTTAATTATCTACAGTCAATCAGACAATCTTGACCCATCCGAGACAAAGTATCAGACCATAAGGCAGCAAACATACAGCAGATCAAATACTCGAGAAAACAAGACATTAAAAGATGTCAAAAATGACATTACATTACAGACCACCACCAAGTAGCTGGAATATTTCTGTGATTGGCGTGAAACACCAAGCAAACAAACCCGAAACAATTGATCATTGAATTCTTCCCTCTGAAACCAAACAAAGAAAACAAACCAATATTATCTGAATACCAACAATCTGATGGGTACTTGTTGGACAAAGTAGGTGGACACAGCCGAATCCCTTGCTCGATAGCTAAACCCTTGAAAAGGCTACTGCCAGTACAACGTTATTTGGTATCGGAATAAGGCATCAAACTTGTGTTCCGAAAACCCCTTCAAAATAATTCGCTGGCACATAATTTAACACTCTCATGTGTATTGTGAAAATATGAAATACTTTTCATCAGTCAGTTATCATACAAGTAATGCAGTATGTTATGCAATTTACGAGTGTATTAAGATTCTCGCAGCACAGCAAAAGGATATGGCAAGAGACCGAGTAACATAGTAACCATCAACCAGTTTGAACATCTCTCATGTCAATTCTGTTGCCTGGTTCTGGGGTATAGTGAATTTCAATGCATTGGAAATATATATATTGGCACTGAAACGTTCTCATATTGGTTGAAACTCATCTCAATGCATCCTCAAAAGCCATTTAAGATGGTATTGTAATTGTTTGGAAATGCAAGTGATGCTCGAAATAAACATATGGGGACATGTTAATTAAAACTATACTGTTTCAACTGGGTCTTGGATATGCATGGATTGGGCAGGGAGTTGAGGATGTTACAGCTTTTTATCCCTTGTTCAACAAAGATGTAAAGATTGCTTTCACCAAAAATGGACTATTAATATTCAAACTGGAAAATGTTCTTATTCGCATTCCTTGCTGAAACAACACCTTATGAGTGAGTGAGTGAGTGAGTGAGGTTTAGTCTTAGCAATATTCCAGCACGGTTGGGGGCACCAGAAATGGGCTTCACACATTTTACCCATGTGGGGAATCGAACCCGGATCGAACGCTGTAACCACTAGGTTACCCCACCGCCCCAACATCTTATGTGTGAAAATTTTAATTACTTTAAATGTGAGGAAATTAAGAGCAGTTTCGACGTGGTTATTAAAATCTCACGTATTATTAAAAACCATGTCATGCCACGGAGAACCAATCCTGCAGAAAGTGGAACACTGATAATATTGAAGATGAATACCACGTTATTCTCATATGTCCACAGTATGAAGACCAAGGAGGCATTATATCCAATCTAAGTATACATCACAATTTACGCATTCTGTATACCAATGTCAACAGAAAATGTCCAGCTTCTACAGAATGTTGCTACGTTAATACACCATGCACTGTCAACACATAAACGGACATGTACCAATAACCCAGTATAACCGTTTTGAGTTGTACTAGTTTCTACAGTTCAGTTATAAAGAATATCTCACGAGAATATTTCCATAATTATGGAATATTGCTAAAAGCGGCAATAAACCTCACTCACTTACTCACACGAAAACCCACACAAACCAAACTGATTATGTGATAACAGCAGCATAATATATAGCAGTATATATATTTACGAAAAAGAAACCACACTTACTTTTTAGATCACTTGTGAAGTGATATTCGGTACATCACCTCTTCATTGTTTTATTACTTTACCGAAGAACCATACTTATTTTCCTATCGTGAGAAGCAACAGTTTGCCACATGCATATTTTTGGAATAATCTTATCTTCAACTACGTCACAGGCACAACAGTGTCCCGACAAATAGTTAAATTGTCTTGTGCATATCCCAGAAATATTCCATTATTACGTAAAAGCAGAGAAGCGTAAGGATACATCAAAGGTATAAAGTGCCAAAACTGAAACACATCAACGGTATATATTCACATATTTGGCTGTTGATGTATATCACAGAGATACATATGGCGTATACATTTTCATTTAAATACTTTTTCCTTTCGAGTTCCTAGTTTTACATCATCGACGTCTCTGTCACGTGGTGTCAGACAGTTAGATAAGGTATAAAACCATTGGCACTGCGCTTGAATATTCATCTAGTACAAGTAAGCCATGATGTTTGAAGCAGTTTTCCGTTTGTGTATATTCCTACCTTACATCTCCGGACTGATTCTGCCGTTAACGAAATCCGACGGTACAGCCGACCTTACCAGTATCTTGAGTCACATCACTCTCCTCGAACAGACTGTGGACACTCTTCACAATGACACAAATAGGTTGCAGATTGATCTACGGACTACGAACGAAAGACTCCAGCTCACACAGGCTGATCTGAATATTACAAGACAGGAACTACAGACGTCTCGAACAGACCTGCAGGTAACTCGAACAGATCTGAATATTACAAGACAGGAACTACAGACATCTCGGACAGAAATCCAGGCAACAAAGGTCGACCTTCAACATACACAGACCGATCTTCAAACTACAAAGAAAGACCTTCAGACCGCCCAGACAGACCTCATGACAAAGGGTTTACAACTGAAACATTTGAACTCAGGTCAGTGTGACAACCAAGTCTTTAAAACTAGAATGGAAAACCTAACGTAACATAGTTTTGATAACCCTAGTCACGAGATTGCTGTATCAACTATAATTAGTTGAATAATTACCTTGGAAAGGTGACTTGGCATTTTGACTGGTTGTACCTTAATGTCTGGGTGACTTGGAATTGTAACTGTTCCTACACCAATGTCTGGGTGACTTCGCGTTTTGACTGGTCCTACACCAATGTCTGGGTGACTTGGCATTTTGACTGGTCCTACACCAATGTCTTGGTGACTTGTCATTTTGACTGGTCCTACACCAATGTCTGGGTGACTTGGCATTTGGACTGGTCCTACACCAATGTCTGGGTGACTTGGCATTTTGACTGTTCCTACACCAATGTCTGGGTGACTTGGCATTTTGACTGGTCCTACACCAATGTCTGGGTGACTTGGCATTTGGACTGGTCCTACACCAATGTCTGGGTGACTTGGCATTTTGACTGGTCCTACACCAATGTCTGGGTGACTTGGCATTTGGACTGGTCGAACACCAAGGTCTGGGTGACCTGACATTTTGACTGGTCGTGCACCAAGGTTTGGGTGACCTGACATTTTGACTGGTCGTACACCAATGTCTGGGTCACTTGGCATTTTGACTGTTCGTACACCAATGTCTGGGTGACTTGACATTTTGACTGGTCGTACACCAAGGTCTGGGCGACCTGACATTTTGACTGGTCGTACACCAAGGTCTGGGTGACTTGGCATTTTGACTGGTCTCTACACCAATGTCTGGGTGACTTGGCATTTTGACTGGTCGTACACCAAGGTCTGGGTGACCTGACATTTTGACTGGTAGTACACCAAGGTCTGGGTGACTTGACATTTTGACTGGTCGTACACCAAGGTCTGGGTGACCTGACATTTTGACTGGTCGTACACCAAGGTCTGGGTGACCTGACATTTTGACTGGGCGTACACCAATGTATAGGTGACATATTGACTGGTTATACAAAAAGGTCTGCTCCAGAGTCAATTGTTAAATCACTATCAGTTTAAACTTTGAGAGTTGATACTTGCAAACGTGCAAGGATCCTTCCATATACAGTACAGAAACATTGCATTATATATTCCACCACGTGTTCCTTCACTGCAGTGTCCGAAACCAGCGCCGTGGCTTTCCAGGTTTTTGTGTCAAGTTCCTACAACGTAACATCACTAGACCCCGTGGTGTATGACAGCATCATCTACGACACTGGATCTGGCTACAACACCACGACTGGGATGTTCACAGCACCAGTGAACGGAACCTACATGTTCTGGATACAGTTGGGCATTCTTCTCCAAAGGTTCCCTCCATCGACTTCGATCAAACAATCGGGAAAGACAATCGGCAGTGGTTGGGCTGCATATTCTTCTTCCGAGGGCGCAGTTTCCGCTACATGTGTCAGTCATCTGCAGAAGGACGAGGAGGTGTGGGTGCAGTTTGAACAGTTCCGTGGAGATATTCCAATAACAGTCACCGTTCGTTCAGGCAGCTATGTAGGAGATGCGATATCTTTCATTACAGGACATCTGCTTCAACAGTTTTGTCTTATTCATCCAAACTTCATTGGCCTTCAGTTCTTACAATAATACTTTTACTGGCAATTTAGAGCGATCTGACTTTCTGAAGGGTAGTTAAAACGTTAGGCCCGGGTTCGATTCCCCACATGGCTACAATGTGTAAAGCCGATTTCTGGTTCCCCCGCGGTGATATTGATGGAATATTGTTAAAAGCGTCGTAAAACTAAACACACTCACTTATTATCAACGGATTTTATTGAATATAGAACTTCAGTGCAAAAGAATACCCAGTCTTCATTATCTTTAGAAGCAAATTCCGTTTGTTTGGTGTAAACGGAAACATAGCTCTGAAAATTATATGAAAGGATCACTGAAAATCAGTGATGACACCAGGTGTTCGCGACAAGGGTAGGCATGTCCTGCCCTACAGTATTGTATGGTGTTATTCTCACGAATACAGCATGTGATGTGTCCTTTTAAAAACATTATCTAACCACCGCCGTGGTGTAGTGGTTAGAGCGTCCGCCCTGAGAGCGGAAGGTCGCGTGTTCGATCCCCGGCCGCGTCATACCAAAAGACGTTAAAATATGGTACTTGTTGGTCCCTGCCTGGCGCTCGGCAGTAATGACTGACTGACTGAGTTTGGGTTTACGCCACTTTTACAAATATTCCAGCAACATCACGACGGGGGACACCAGAAATGGGCTTCACACATTGTACCCATGTGGGGATTCGAACCCGGGTCTTCGGCGTGACGAGCCAACGCATTACCCACTAGGCTACCCCACCGCCCCTCGACAGTAATGGGTACAACAAGGACTGGTCGGCTCGGAGTCAGTATAATGTGTCTGAGTGGGGTATTCATGCTTCACTGCGGCATGGTATCTCAGTGGGCTAGCACTATAAATCCAGCTTCATTCTGGGCTAGTACAAGCAGGCGCACATACACATACACACGCACGCACGTCGTCATATGAGCGAAATATTCTCAAGCACGACGTTAAACCCAATTTCACCTCACCTCACTTCAAAAACATTATCTAAATTCAAGTGGTCATGCCATATGCCTTATGATGTCAATCACTGAATTGCCTGACACAGACTCCAGACTATTTACACAAAAATACAGCTGGAATATTGCTGAGACCAGAGTTAAACAAGACACAGATCAACAAAAAAAGTCATGTTTAATACACAGTCAAATTAAGTTGGTCAAAAGATTCATAGCCATAACCAAACTTGCCCCCTCAACCCCCTCCCTCGGAAAGAGCAGGCAGGCCGTGCTACCGGAGGTCGGGTGAAGTGAATCCTGAATCCTTGTCTTCGAAACACTTTGGCAGGACACTCTATGAAGGCAAGACAATATTTCGAGTCACCTGACAAGTAAAGGGCCCGTTTCCCAAAGCTATCGTAGCGCTACGACTGTCGTACCTCCGATACTGGGCCTATATTTTCGAAGCTCTCTTAGCGCTAAGATGGTCGTAAGTTAAAGTTGATGTATGACACTTAACGCTAAGAGAGCTTCGAAACTCTAGGCCCCGTAACATAGACTTACGTCAGTCGTAGCGCTACGATAGCTTTGTGAAACGAAGCCCTGGAACCCAGTCCTGATGTGGCCAATTGACGTGATCTTCAGCCCAATCCAGACGTGCCTGCGTGTGATATTGGATCGATGGGATTCGGATGTATACCGAGACCAGCCTCACGGAGACGATTATGCACTGTTTGAGCTGAATCAACGTCATTAACGTACCAATTGTCATTCCTGAGTGTGGTGGCTGTCACAAAGTAATGACGTCTTGTTGCAGTCAGGAGCTGTGTGTTGCAACGCTATCGGTCAAATGTCACTGGGTAGCTGACCCAAACGTCAGGTATCGATTCCATGCCCTGCTGCTCACACTTTGTCGTACATCAAAGATATTTGCATCGTGACATTGTGCTGACCAAGTTTAAGCGTGCCCATGCACCTACCTAGTCCTTCGGTCACCAAACAACGTCTTTAACGCTTGCTTCAATCCTCACTGGTTTATGGTGTGTTATGCTTCTATGAAAATAATGGGCAACGATTCTGTTACGATATATCCAAACACAGGTTTTCAAGCACCTCGTGCACACGGTGCTCATGATCAGGAATTACATTCTTCTGAAAACTTACGGTGACCTATATACTGCAGGAATAGGCTCCGTAAACAGGCCATGACACTTCACGAGACCTTAGTATTTCCGGAGACAAACGACGTTTCATACCTTTTCGAATGGTTTCATGGTTCTCAGTTGATAGTAAGATAATTCTTGCAGGAATAAAATATTTCCGATCTTACCATCCACAAATTAGCAAACGGTTACTGTCAACCGCTGTTACAGCCAAGCATGGTTGTACACTTGGTCTGGTCTAGTAAAGTCTTTTTTTGGCGGTGGCACAATTTAGAACCAGAACTGGTTCTTGAATATACGCTTGTCACCGGAAATCTGGTACCGGAAGTTAGCTGGGCCCCGTCTGACATATCGGAAGTTGGGAACCAGCTTCGTACCGCAAGTAGCGTCTCGCGAGACTTACAGGCCCTATTATCTTATGCCATCTCTCTTAATGTCCATCAACAGTATCGTGTCCTATGTAAATAAACCATCTTCCAGTCGGCTGTTTTGGCCTCGGCATGTATTCGACTTTGCAACAGCTACAACAAAGTCAGTGCCATGTATGTCGTGTATGAACCCATTTCGCCCATGTTATATTTCCTGGGGTTGTCCACATCAAAAGGGGCTGTTGGGTAGCCTTGTGGTTCGCGATTATACATGGCAACAGATGGGACTCACAGTCTTTGAGGTAGGTCAGCACCATTATCTCATGTGGAGTGTGAAGCCCATTTCTAGTGTCTCTTGTCATGATATTGCTGAAATATTGCTAAAAGAGGAAAACTAAACTCACTCACTCAAGAGTACCGGTACCGTTATGCTCAAGCCTGTGTCGCAGAGAGGAATCGCTTCCAGGAGGTTACGTGAACTGGGGTGGGATAAGTGCTCATCAGGGAACCCCTTTTAAAACAGCTGCTGTTTAGGGCAATTTGATAGGTGTGGGCTACAGAGATAGGATTTTCGGACCAGTGGCAATACAGTTTCTTCAACGTCATGTTTCAAGATTGACAATGACTATGATAACGTCGTCCTTACGCGCCTAGAGTTGCTTTGGCTTTTCTTCAGTGGCACAAAGTACTGCCTTGGCCTGCATATTCACCGGATATTTCCCGGTGAGCACGTGTGGGATGAAATGGAGAGACGTCTACTCTGTATACCAAATCCGCCACATAAAGTGTGTGAGTTGTAGAGAACATGACATACCATTCCACCAGCCTCCAGTGACCATCTGATAGACTATATGCGTGGGCGATGCTCTGCCGGTCTCACTGTTCACGGTGTGCGTACCCGTTATTGGGTTTGTGACCACCGCCTCGCAGTGGACATTAATTTCGAAAGTATTTTAATAATCTCCAGTCAACCAGACAGTCTTGACCAATCTGAGACAACGTATCAGACCATAAGGCAGCAAACATACAGCAGATCAAATGCTCGAGAAAACAAGACATTAAAAGATGTCATAAGGCAAAATGATATGGCGAGTGACCAAGTAACATAGTGACCATCAACCAGTTTGAACATCTCTCATGTCAATTCTGTTGCCTGGTTCTGGGGTATAGTGAATTTCAATGCATTGGAAATATATATATTGGCACTGAAACGTTCTCATATTGGTTTAAACTCATCTCAATGCGTCCTTAAAAGCCATTTAAAATGGTATTGTATTTGTTTGGAAATGCAAGTGATGCTCGAAATAAAGATATGGGCTATGTTGATTAAAACTATACTGTTTCAACTGGGTCTTGGATATGCATGGATTGGGCAGGGAGTTGAGGATGTTACATCTTTTTTTATCCATTTTTCATCAAAGATGTAAAGATTGCTTTCACCATAAATGGACTATTAATATTCAAACTGGAAAATGTTCTTATTTGCCTTCTTTGCTGAAACAACATCTTGTGAGTGAGTGAGTGTGTGAGTTTTAGTCTTAGCAATATTCCAGCAATATCACGGTGGGGGACACCTGAAATGGGCTTCACACATTTTACCCAATTGGGGAATCGAACCCGTGTCTTCGGCGTGATGAGCGAACGCTGTAACCACTAGGCTACCCCACCGCCCCCAACATCTTATGTGTGAAAAGTATTTAACTACTTTAAATGTGAGGAAAGTAAGAGCAGTTTTGATGTGGTTATTATAATCTAACGTATTATAAAAAAACATGTCATGCTACTGAGAACTAATCCTGCAGAAAGTGGAACACTGATAATATTGAAGATGTATACCACGTTATCCTCGTATGTCCACAGTATAAAGACCAAGGAGGCATTATATCCAATCTAAGTATACATCACAATTTACGCATTCTGTATACCAATGTCAACAGAAAATGTCCAGCTTCTACAGAATGTTGCTACGTTAATATACCATGCACTGTCAACACGTAAACGTACATGTACCAATAATCCATTATAACCGTTTTCAGTTGTACTAGTTTCAACCGTTCAGTAATAAAGAAAATCTCCAGAGAATATTTCTACAATCAGTAAGTAATCCAAATATGTGTATTCAAATATCTTTTCACTTTCATAAGATGTGTATTAAAAGTATCTCAACACATGACATGGATATCGTAAGATTTAAGAGGAAAGAGGATATTTTCGTTCAGGTACATAACTGAGGTCACGGGTGGCTCAAAAGTCTAATAGGTTTATAATGTGTTGCAATTCGCCTTTTGACAAGACAGAAGTTTGTTTTCGTTGGCTACGAATGAGTGAGTGTGTGAGTGAGTTTAGTTTTACGCCGCACTCAGCAATATTCCAGCTATATGGCGGCGGTCTGTAAATAATCGAGTCTGGACCGGGCAATCCAGTGATCAACAGCATGAGCATCGATCTAAGCAAATGGGAACTGATGATATGTGCCAACCAAGTCAGCGAGCCTAACCACCCGATCCCGTTAGTCGCCTCTTACCACAAGCATGGGTTACTGAAGATCAATTCTAGCCCGGATCTTCACGGGTCCGCTGGTTACGAACCCTACTTTCATCCTGTTTTCAGGTTTGGCAGCACCATTCATTTGTTGATGGGCTTCATCAAAGTGGCAAACGTGAAAGACCTCAAGCAACTAACAGGAATCTTTCCTCTCACGGGGCGGTGGGGTAGCCTAGTGGTTAAAGCGTTGGCTCGTCACGCCGAAGACCCGGGTTCGATTCCCCACATGGGCACAATGTGTTAAGCCCATTTCTGGTGTCCCCCGCCGTGATATTGCTGGAATATTGCTAAAAGCGGCGTAAACTAAACTCTCAGACCACCATAAGGCAGCAAACATAAGAGCAGATCAAATGCCCGAGGAAAACAAGGCATTAAAGATGTCAAAAATGACATTACACATTACAGACCACCACCATGGAAGCTGGAACATTGCTGTGATTGGCGTGAAACACCAAGCAAACAAACCCGAAACAATTGATCATTGTTGATCGTGCGATTCTTCCCTCTGAAACCAAACAAACAAAAACGGCAAATATTACCTGAATGCCAAAAATCTGATGCGTACGTGTTGGACAAAGTAGGTGGACACAGCCGAATCCCTTGCTCGATAGCTAAACCTTTGAAATGGCTACTGCCAGTACAACAACGTTATCTGGTATCGGAATAAGGCATAACATTTGTGTTCCGAAAACCCCTTCAGCATAACACATAATTCAACACTCTCATGTGTATTGTGAAAATATGAAACACTTTTCATCAGTCAATTATGTTATTTAGGTGTGTATTAAGATTCTCGCAGCAAGGCAAAATGATATGGCGAGTGACCAAGTAACATAGTGACCATCAACCAGTTTGAACATCTCTCATGTCAATTCTGTTGCATGGTTCTGGGATATAGTGAATTTAAATGCATTGGAAATATATATATTGGCACTGAAACGTTCTCATATTGGTTGAAACACATCTCAATGCGTCCTCAAAAGCCATTTAAGATATTTATCGTATTTCGTTTGAAAATGCAAAAGTGATGTTCAGCCATGGCTTATATGGAATATGTTGATTTGAACTATACTGTTTCAACTGGGTCTTGGATATGCATGGATTGGGCAGGGGAGTTAGGGGATCAATTTACAGCCTTTTTATCCCTGTTCAACAAAGGTGTAAAGATTGCTTTCAATCCAGATTGGACTAGAAATGTTAAAACTGAAAAATGTTCTTATTCGCATTCTTTGATGAAACCACATCTTGTGAGTAATTCAATTATTAGTGAGTTTTAGTTTTAGCAATATTCCATTGATATCACGGTAGAGGACACCTGGAAATGGGCTTCACACATTTTACCCATGTGAGGAATCGAACCGGATCGAACCTTTGTAACGCTCTAGGTTACCCACCACCATATCATCTTATGTGTAGAAAGTATTTAACTGCTGCTTTAAATGTAGAGGGAAATTAAGAGCAGTTTCGACGTGGATTTATTATTAATTCTAACGTATTATAAAGAGCATGTCATGCCACTGAGAACCAATCCTGCAGAAAGTGGAACAGTGATAATATTGAAGATGAATGCCACGTTATTCTCATATGTCCACAGTATGAAGACCAAGGGGAGGCATTATATTCCAATCTAAAATTATACATCTGAATTTACGCATTCTGTATACCAATCAATCAACAGAAAATGTCAAGCTTCTACGGACTGTTGCGCTGCGTATGTACACCATGCACTATCAACCACGTAAACATTACATGCACCAATAACCCAGTATAACCGTTTTGAGTTGTACTGGTTTCTACAGTTCAGTTTATGAAGAATATCTCACGAGAATATTTCCACAATGAGTAAGTAATCCAAATATGTTTATTCAAATGTGTTTTCACTTTCCTTAAGATGGAGTATAAAAGGTATCTCAAGCGATACGATTTAAGAGGAAAAGAGGATAACCCTTTCGTTTAGGTGCATGACTATGAGGGCACAGGTGGCTCAAATGTCTTATAGGTTTATGTGTTGCAATTCATACGTGTAGGGTTGCTTCCATTTTGATGACAAGACAAGTCTGTTTTTTCCGTTGGCTCGAAGATGAGTGAATGTGTGAGTGAGTTTAGTTTTACGCTTCGCATTCAGCAATATTCCAGCTATATGGCGACGGTCTGGCAAATATTCGATCCGTGGACATCCCCGATCCGTTAGTCGCCTCCAACAAGCATGGGTTACTGAAGATCAATTCTAGTCCGGATCTTCACGGGTCCGCTGGTTACGAACCTTACGTTCATCCTGTTTCTTCAGGTTTTGGCAGCACCAGTCATTTGCTGATGGGCTTCATGCTGGAATATTATTGCTAAAGCGGCGGTAAACCTCACTCCTTACTCACCCAAAAACACACACAAACAAAACTGATTATGCGATAACAGCCAGCATAATATACTCTCCCAAAAGAAACGCTTCATGAAAATAGCAATTTCATGTAGCAATGAATTAAAACGTGATTCATTTTACAAAAGGTTTTGCTCTATTTATCAGTCCTATGGTGTTTATGTTTTGAAACATCACATCAAAACGCACCATCCGTAAAATACCCGTATTAAACAGCATGATTTTCAATTTTGGCGTGTAGTGTCACAGAATACACAATTCGCATGCAATGCACGTGAAAGTTGGGGATCAGATAGTCTCAATGATGGGTATAAAAGGTTGATCGCTGTCTGTCGATTATTCACTGTATTTGGAATATTGTTGACTCTACAGGCAGAGTGGTCTGCGATTGAGCAACACGAGATTCTGAGATTTATTCGTTCGATGCCGAGGCGATGCCGTGCAGTTCTGGATGCCCACGGTGGTTACACGAGGTATTGACTTCAGCGCCACCACACGTCTCCATGTGACACTCAAACTGACTTTCCTCGAGTGCCAAAGACGGATAAGTCTGCATTCCCAGTGTGCAATTTCGCTCTATTTCATTGACTCATAACGCCTACAAGATGTTTCAAAATACACATAGAAATACAGTTGAAATTCCTATATGCGTTTCTTTTTGGAGAGTATATATAGCAGTATATATATTTACGGAAAAAAACAAAACACTTTGTAGATTTTGTGATAGTGATATTCGGCACTCATCAACTCTTCATTGTTTTATTACTTTACCGAAGAACCATACTTATTCTCCTATCGTGAGAAGCAACAGTCTGCCACCTGCATATTTTTGGAATAATCTTATCTTCAACTACGTCACAGGCTTAAGAGTGTGTCCCGACAAATAGTTAAATTGTCTTGAGCACATCCCAGAAATATTCCATTATTACGTAGAAGTAGAGAAGCGTAAGGATACATCAAAGGTAAAAGTGCCCAAACTGAAACACACCAAGGGTATATATTCACATATTTGGCTGTTGAGTTATATCACAGAGATACATATGGCGTATACATTTTAATTTAAATATTTTTTTCCTTTCTAGTTCCTAGTTTTACATCGACGACGTCTCTGTCACGTGGTGTCAGACAGTTAGATAAGGTATAAAATCATTGTCACTGCGCTTGAATTTTCATCTAGTACAAGTAAGCCATGATGTTTGAAGCAGTTTTCCGTTTGTGTATATTCCTACCTTACATCTCCGGAATGATTCTGCCGTTAACGAAATCCGACGGTAGTGCCGACCTTACCAGTATCTTGAGTCACATCACTCTCCTGGAACAGACTGTGGACACTCTTCACAAGGTCACAGATAGGTTGCAGATTGATCTGCGGACAACGAACGAAAGACTGGACACAGGCTACGAACGGAAGACTTCACAGCTCACAACAGACCTTCAACTTACGGATCTTCAAACTACAAAGAAAGACCTTCAGTCCGCCCAGACAGACCTCATGACAAAGGGTTTACAATTCAAACATCTGAACTCAGGTCAGTGTGACAACCAAGTCTTTAAAACTAGTATGGAAAACCTAACGTAACACAGTTTTAATAAGCCTCGTCACGAGACTGCTGTATCATTATAATTAGTTGATTAATTACCTTGGAAAGGCGACTTGGCATTTTGAATGGTTGCACCTACATGTCTGGGTGACTTGGAATCTGGACTGGTCCTACACCAATGTCTGGGTGACTTGGCATCTGGACTGGTCCTACACCAATGTCTGGGTGACTTGGCATCTGGACTGGTCCTACACCAACGTCTGGGAGATTTGGCATTTAGATATGTCGTACACCAAGGTTTGGGTGACTTGGCATCTGGACTGGTCCTACACCAAGGTGTGGGTGACTTGGCATTTTGACTGGTCCTACACCAATGTCTGGGTGACTTGGCATCTGGACTGGTCCTGCTCCAATGTCTGGGTGACTTGGCATGTGGACTGGTCCTACACCAATGTCTGGGTGACTTGGCATCTGGACTGGTCCTACATCAATGTCTGGGTGACTTGGCATCTGGACTGGTCCTACACCAATGTCTGGGTGACTTGGCATCTGGACTGGTCCTACACCAATGTCTGGGTGACTTGGCATTTTGACTCGTCCTACACCAATGTCTGGGTGACTTGGCATCTGGACTGGTCCTACACCAATGTCTGGGTGACTTGCAATCTGGACTGGTCCTACACCAATGTCTGGGTGACTTGGCATCTGGACTGGTCCTACACCAATGTCTGGGTGACTTGGCATCTGGGCTGGTCCTACACCAATGTCTGAGTGACTTAGCATCTGGACTAGTCCTACACCAATGTGTGGGTGACTTGGCATCTGGACTGGTCCTAAACCAATGTCTGGGTGACTTTGCATTTTGACTCGTCCTACACCAATGTCTGGGTGACTTTGCATCTGGACTGGTCCTACACCAATGTCTGAGTGACTTGGCATTTGGACTAGTCCTACACCAATGTCTGGGTGACTTGCAATCTGGACTGGTCCTAAACCAATGTCTGGGTTACTTGGCATTTTGACTGGTCCTACACCAATGTCTGGGTGACTTGGCATCTGGACTGGTCCTACACCAATGTGTGGGTGACTTGGCATCTTGACTGGTCCTGGTCCAATGTCTGGGTGACTTTGCATCTGGACTGGTCCTACACCAATGTCTGAGTGACTTGGCATCTGGACTGGTCCTACACCAATGTCTGGGTGACTTGGCATCTGGACTAGTCCTACACCAATGTCTGGGTGACTTGGCATCTGGACTGGTCCTACACCAATGTCTGGGTGACTTGGCATCTGGACTGGTCCTACACCAATGTCTGGGTGACTTGGCATCTGGACTGGTCCTACACCAATGTCTGGGTGACTTGGCATCTGGACTGGTCCTACACCAATGTCTGGGTGACTTGGCATCTGGACTGGTCCTACACCAATGTCTGGGTGACTTGGCATCTGGACTGGTCCTACACCAATGTCTGGGTGACTTGGCATCTGGACTGGTCCTACACCAATGTCTGGGTGACTTGGCATATGGACTGGTCCTACACCAATGTCTGGGTGACTTGGCATTTGGACTGGTCCTACACCAATGTCTGGGTGACTTGGCATCTGGACTGGTCCTACACCAATGTCTGGGTGACTTGGCATCTGGACTGGTCCTACACCAATGTCTGGGTGACTTGGCATCTGGACTGGTCCTACACCAATGTCTGGGTGACTTTGCATTTTGACTGGTCCTACACCAATGTCTGGGTGACTTGGCATCTGGACTGGTCCTACACCAATGTCTGGGTGACTTGGCATTTTGACTGGTCCTACACCAATGTCTGGGTGACTTGGCATTTTGACTGATCGTACTCCAAGGTCTGGGTGATTTGGCATTTAGATATGTCGTATAGGTGATATTTTGATAGGTTGTACAAAAATGTCTGGGTTTGTTTGCCAAATGTTCTGGGGTGTTGTTTGTGTTTCTACCCACTGTTTGTCTGCTGCAGTCAGTAGTTAAATTACTATCAGTTTAAACTATCAGTTTAAACTTTGAGAGTTGATACTTGTAAACGTGCAAGAATTCTTCCATATACAGTACAGAAACATTGCATTATTTATTCCACCACGTGCTCTTTACCGCAGTGTCCGAAACCCGCGCCGAGGCTTTCCAGGCCTTTGTATCAAGTTCCCTCAACGTAACGTCACTACACCCCGTTGTATATGACAGCATCATCTACGACACTGGATCTGGCTACAACACCACGACTGGGGTGTTCACAGCACCAGTGAACGGAACCTACATGTTCTGGATACAGTTGGGCATTCGTCCCCTAGGGTATTATCCACCCACTTCGATCAAACAATCGGGAAAGACAATCGGCAGTGGTTGGGCTTCATTTTCTTCTTCTGGTGAGGGCGCAGTGTCCGCTACATGTGTCAGTCAGCTGCAGAAGGACGAGGAAGTGTGGGTGCAGTTTGAGCAGTACCGTGGAGAATTTCCAGAAACAGTCACCGTTCTTTCAGGCAGCTATGTAGGAGATCCTACATCCTACTTTGGTGGTGCCCTTTTGACAATGGACTAATTTCATTACAGGACATCTGCTTGAACATTGTCTAATGGTCTAATTGATGAAAACTTCATTGGCCTTCCAATCTTAAAATACTCGTACTGGCAATCAAGAGCGATCTGACTTTCTAAAGTATAATTATAAACTGATATGTTGGATGAATTCCATCTTATTTAACACACTTATCGACAAATCGAAGCCATACCAACACGCATCATGCGCGCCAGCATAACGTTTAGGAACAATAACGGCTGCAGTTATCAACTGATTTGGGGCCATGGGGTAGCCTAGTAGTTAAAGCCTTCGCTCGTCAAGCCGAAGGCCCGGGGTGGATTCCCCACATGGGTAGAATGTGTGAAGCCGATTTTTGGTTTACCCCGCGATGATATTGTTGGAATATTGCTAAAAGCGGCGTATAACTAAAGCCATCCACTCATCATCAACTGATTTTAGCAAACATAGGAGTCAGCGCAAAAGAATGTCCAGTCTTTATTATCCACGGAAGCGAATTCCGTTTGTTTGGTGTAAAAGAAAAAAAATAGCTGTGAAAAGTATATGAATGGATCACTGAAAATCAGTGACACCAGGTGTTCGCGAAAAGGATAAGCTTGTTCTGCCCTACAAATATTGTATAGTGTGTTTCTGACGAATACAACATGCAAAGTATCCTTCATGGCGCTACGATAGCTTTGTGAAACGGGGCCCCTGGAACCAAATCCTGATCGATGTGTCCAATTGACGTGATCTTCAGCACAATCCAGACGTGCCTGCGTGTGATACTGGATCCATGGGATTCGGATGTATACCATGGGATTCGGATGAGACCATCCTCGCGGTGACGATTGTGCACTGTTTGAGCTGAATCATCAACGTACCAATGGTCATTCCTGAGTGTGGCGGCTGTCACAAAGTGATGACCTCTTGCTGCAGTCAGGAGTAGCCTGTCTTACCACTGTCTGTTGTAACGCTGTCGACCACATGTCACTGGGTAGCTGACCTAAACGTCAGGTATCGATTCCATGCCCTGCTGCTCACACTTTGTCGGACACCAAAGATATTTGCATCGTGGCATTGTGTTGCCGCTACCTAGTCCTTCAGTCACCAAACGACATCTTTAACGCTGTTAAGTCGCTATAATCCTGTGAGGTAAATGACGTTATGCTTCTCTGACAATAGTGCGCAACGATTCTGTTACATTCTCCTTACTGACATACAACAAACAACATACAATATAACATGGCATGCTGTACGGTGCACCATCTGTGAATAACGATTCTGTTACGATATATCCAAACACAGGTTTTCAAGCACCTCGTGCACACGGTGCTCATGATCAGGTATTACATTCTTCTGAAAACTTACGGTGACCTATATTCTGCAGGAATAGGGTCCGTAAACAGGTCATGACACTTCGTGAGACCTTAGTTCTTCCGGCGACAAACAACGTTTCATACTTTTTTTTGATTGGTTCATGGTTCTCAGTTGACAGTAAGGAACTGATAATTCTTGCAGGAATATAACATTTCCGATCTAACCATCCCCAAATTAGCCAACTGTTACGACTGTCAACAGCTGTTACAGCCAAGCATGGTTGTACACTTGGTCCGGTCTAGTAAAGTCATTTTTGGCGGTAGCGCAATTTAGAACCAGAACTGGTTCTTGAATATACGCTTGTCACCAGAAATCAGGTTCCAGAAGTAGTCTGGTTCTCGTCTTACATATCTCAAGTTGGGAACCAGCTTAGTACCGGAAGTAGCGCCTTGCGAGACTAACAGGTCCTATTATCTTATGCCATCACTCCCAATGTCGATCAACAGTATCATGTCGTATGTCAATAAACCATCTTCTAGTCGGCTGTTGTTGGCCTCGGCATGTATTCGACTTGCAACAGCTACAACAAAGCCAATGCCATGTATGTCGTGTATGAACCCGGTTCGCCCATGTTATATTTCCTGGGTTTGTCCACACCAAAAGGGGCTGTTGGGTAGCCTTGTGTTTAGCTCATCGTTATTCTACATGGTAACAGATGGGACTCGCTGCCTTTGAGGTAGGTCATTAGTACGATTATCTCATGAGGAGAGTGAAGCCCATTTCTGGTGTCTCTTGTCATGATATTACTGGAATATTGCTAAAAGCGGCGTAAAACTAAACTCACTCACCCATGAGGACCGTTATATTCAAACCTGTGTCGCAGAGATGAATCGCTTAGGGGAGGTTACGTGAACTGGGGTGGGATAAGTGCTCATGATTCAAGATTGACAATGACTATGATAACGTCGTTCTTGACTTTTCTTCAGTGGCACAAAGTACTGCCTTGGCCAGCATATTCACCGGATATTTTCCTTATTGAGCACGTGTGGGATGAAATGGAGAGATGTCTACGCTGTATACCAAATCCGCCACATAAAGGTTGTGAGGTGAAGAGAACATGACATGCCATTTCACAAGCCTCCAGTGACCATCTGATAGACTATATGCGTGGGCGATGCTCTGCCGCTCTCACTGTTCACGGTGTGCGTACCCGTTATTGGGTTTGTGACCACCGCCTCGCAGTGGACATTAATTTTGAAAGTATTTTAATAATCTCGAGTCATCCAGACAATCTTGACCAATCTGAGACAACGTATCAGACCATAAGGCAGCAAACATACAGCAGATCAAATACTCGAGAAAACAAGACATTAAAAGATGTCAAAAATGACATTACATTACAGACCACCACCATGAAGCTGGAACATTGCTGTGATTGGCGTGAAACACCAAGCAAACAAACCCGAAACAATTGATCATTGAATTCTTCCCTCTGAAACCACACAAACAAAACAAACCAATATTACCTGAATACCAACAATCTGATGGGTACGTGTTGGACAACGTAGGTGGACACAGCCGAATCCCTTGCTCCATAGCTAAACCTTTGAAATGGCTACTGCCAGTACAACAACGTTATCTGGTATCGGAATAAGGCATAACATTTGTGTTCCGAAAACCCCTTCAGCATAATCTTATAGCACATAATTCAACACTCTCATGTGTATTGTGAAAATATGAAACACTTTTCATCAGTCAGTTATCATACAAGTAATGCAATATGTTATGTAATTTAGGTGTATATTAAGATTATCGCAGCACAACAAAAGTATATCGCGAGTGACCAAGTAACATAGTGACCATCAACCAGTTTGAACATCTCTCATGTCAATTCTGTTGCATGGTTCTGGGGTATAGTGAATTTAAATGCATTGGAAATATATATTTTGGCACTGAAACGTTCTCATAATAGTTGAGTCCTCAAAAGCCATTTAAGATGTTATTGTATTTGTTTGGAAATGCAAGTGATGCTCGAAATAAACATATGGGATATGTTGATTAAAACTATACTGTTTCAACTGGGTCTTGGATACACATGGATTGGGCAGGGATTTGAGGATGTTACAGCTTTTTATCCATTCTTCAACAAAGATGTAAAGATTGCTTTCACCAAGAATCCACTAGGAATATACAAACTGGAAAATGTTCTTATTCGCATTCTCTGCTGAAACAACATCTTATGAGTGAGTGAGTGAGTTTTAGTTTTAGCAATATTCCAGCAATATCACGGTGGGGGACACCAGAAATGGACTTCACACTTTTTACCCATGAGGGGAATCGAACCCGTGTCTTCGGCGTGACGAGCGAACGCTGTAACCACTAGGCTACCCCACCGCCCCCAACATCTTATGTGTGAAAAGTATTTAACTACTTTAAATGTGAGGAAATTAAGAGCAGCTTCGACGTGGTTATTAAAATCTAACGTATTATTAAAAAAAAAAACATGTCATGCCACCGAGAACCAATCCTGCAGAAAGAATACTACGTTATTCTCATATGTCCACAGTATGAATTCTAGGGAGTCATATATCCAATCTAAGTATACATCACAATTTACGCATTCTGTATACCCATGTCAACAGAAAATGACCAGCTTCTACAGAATTTTGCTACGTTAATACACCATGCACTGTCAACACGTAAACGTACATGTACCAATAACCCATTATAACCGTTTTGAGTGTTGTACTAGCTTCTACAGTTCAGTAATAAAGAATATCTCACGAGAATATTTCCATATTCAGTATATTCAAATATGTTAATCTAAATATATGTTTTCACTTACTTAAGATGGGTATTACAAGTCTCTCAACAAATGACATGGATATCGAGTGATTTAAGAGGAAAGAGGATATTTTCGTTTAGGTACATGACTGAGTCTAATAGGTTTATAATGTGTTGCAATTCGCCGCGTAGGGGTTGCTTCCATTTGACAAGACAGATGTCTGTTTTCGTTGGCTACGAATGAGTGAGTGAGTTAGTTTTACATCGCATTCAGCAATATTCCAGCTATATGGCGGCGGTGTGTAAATAATCGAATCTGGACCAGACAATCCAGTGATCAACAGCACGAGCATCGATCTACGCAACTGGGAACCGATGACATGTGCCAACCAAGTCAATGAGCCTAACAACCCGATCACGTTAGTCGCCTCTTACCACAAGCATGGGTTACTGAAGATCAATTCTAGTCCGGATCTTCACGGGTCCGTTGGTTACGAACCCTACTTTCATCCTGTTTTCAGGTTTGGCAGCACCATTCATTTGTTGTGGCAAACGTGAAAGACCTCAAGCAACTACCAGGAATCTTTCCTCTCACACTCGTAATTGGGTGAAGCCCATTTATAGTGTCCTCTGCCGGAATAATGCTAAAAGTGGCGGTAAACCTCACTCACTTACTCACACGAAAATCCTCACAAACCAAACTGATTTTGCGATAATAGCAGAATAATATATAGCAGTATATATATTTACGAAAAAGAAACCACACTTACTTGATAGATCACTTGTGAAGTGATATTCGTCACTCATCAACTCTTCATTGTTTTATTACTTTAGCGAAGAGACATACTTATTCTCCTATCGTGAGAAGCAACAGTTTGCCACATGCATTATTTTTGGAATAATCTTATCTGCAACTACGTCACAGGCACAAGAGAGTCCCGACAAATAGTCTTGTGTATATCCCAGAAATATTCCATTATTACGCAAAAGCAGAGAAGCGTAAGGATACATCAAAGGTATAAAGTGCCAAAACTGAAACACATCAACGGTATATAATCACATATTTGGCTGTTGATGTATATCACAGAGATACACATTGCATACATTTTCATTTAAATAATTTTTCCTTTCGAGTTCCTAGTTTTACATCATCGACGTCTCTGTCACGTGGTGTCAGACAGTTAGATAAGGTATAAAACCATTGGCACTGCGCTTGAATTTTCATCTGGTACCAGTAAGCCATGATGTTTGAAGCAGTTTTCCGTTTGTGTATATTCCTACCTTACATCTCCGGACTGATTATGCCGTTAACGAAATCCGACGGTACTGTCAACCTTACCACTATCTTGAGTCACATCACTCTCCTCGAACAGACTGTGGACACTCTTCACAAGGACACAAGCAGGTTGCAGATAGATCTGCGGACTACGAACGAAACACTCCAGCTCACACAGGCAGATCTGAATATTACAAAACAGGAACTACAGACGTCTCGCACAGAACTGCAGGTAACTCAAACAGATCTGAATATTACAAAGCAGGAACTACAGACGTCTCGCACAGAACTGCAGGCAACAAAGGTCGACCTTCAACATACACAGACCGATCTTCAAACTATAAAGAAAGACCTTCAGGCCGCCCAGACAGACCTCATGACAAACAAGGGGCTTCAACAATCTGCAGCTGCTGAGATTTTGTCTCTCAAAAACAACATGACCATACTGAGAACCGAACTCGGAATCGTGAAATCAAAAGTGGAAAACACCGGTCTAGATTTTCATCCTCTGAGTTCAACCTCCAACGATTCTCTTCTCGTTTCCTTGAATGGGAGCTTTACAGCGAACCAGGATGTTATAAGGGCAATTGTTCTGGATGTGCAATCAGTTCACAGCGACCTCAACACCACGGCACACACACTTTCAGAGGTCCAGGCCGACATCAATAGCTTTAAGCGGAATATATCTTCTGCGCTTAGAAATGTAACTGCGGAGTGTACAGCGCTGAAATCTGATTCTCATTTATTCAGTTCCCTCCAGTCGGACATAACAGCAATGGATAAGAAATTGTCCTTCTTAAACATAACCGTTCGTGAAGTTCAGTCAGAAGCACGACAAGTTGCAGCAAATACATCTTCTGTGATACAGCTCATTGCTCACAGGCAGTCACTGAAGACTCTAGCACAAGATACGTGGGCCCAATTGAAGCAGTGTGAGAAGAATGTGAACTCAACTGATGCGAGTATGACGGCTCAACTTAACCGTTTGGAAATGGATATGAATTGTACTTCCGTTTATATTCACAACGTCCAACAGAACCTCCTCTCCCTCGAGTCTGACCTCAACACGACTCGGGAGGACATCACAATGACGAACTCCGACGTGCATGCGCTGAACAAAACTCTGGGTAAGATCCAGTTATCTTCTATGCATTTGGCGTTTAGTTTTTATGGTGAAAAAGTACACATTAATTGCCCTGAACATGGAAAATTGAGCTTGATAAATATAATAAACCTTACCTTATGAAATTAATACACACAATAACACTGCATAGTATGTGGGAATATATATTTTGAGAAAAGATCAACTGAACAACTCGTCATGATTGACAAATTGAAACTATCAAATGTTAGTGAAGTTTTTACGACTGTAAAATCACTTAATTTTGAAATTATCTGAACAACATGGCTCCACAGATAGTTATTAAAACTAATATGTAAAAACCTAAGGTACCTGTTATGATAAGCCAAGTCACGAGATTGCTGCTTGTGTGTTTAAAACTATGGGGCTCTGAAAAGATACACAAAAGTATCGCAACGACTCTGATTTTAATCCCAATGATTAGTTTGAACATTTCGGACGCACCACACATTGGTTTTAAATATTCACGTCCTACGAGGCAAAGGCGAGAATCACGTGCAATACGTGTATCAAGTATCAAGTTTTATCTAGAAAACATGGAAAATCAATTGATTTTGTTGTTGATAAGCAAATATGGATCCTGCTCAAACTCACAACTGACAAAGAGAGCATTTTATTGGTATGCTGAATGCTGGCATGTCACTGAGGGATATTGCAAGGTTGTCATCTAGCGACTGTCAGCCGATTGGGGAGGGAACATCGTCAAACTGATGACGTGAAGCAAACTAATAGGTAGGAATGATACATTTGACCTGGCATTTTGACTGCCCTGGGAGACTTGGCATTTTGTCTAGCTGTACACCAATGTTTGTGTTCCAAATATTTCGGGCGTTACTTGTTGGCGTTTTTTATACCATAGGTTTGGGGTCTAGGTTGTATTTGCACCTACTGCTTTTCTACTCTTGATTCGATTGCTAATCAGTGATGGTTAGGCACTTGCAGAGATTCTTACATTTCCAATACAGAAAATATTACATTATACATTTAACCACGTGTTCTTTCATCGCAGCATCCAAAACCCGAGCCGTGGCTTTCCAGGCGTATGCATCAAAGTCCCGCAATGTAACGTCACAACACCCCGTGGTGTACGATAGCACCATCTACAACATCGGATCTGGCTACAACCACACAACCGGGAATTTCACAGCACCAGTCTCCGGAACCTACATGTTCTGGACAGAATTGCGTATCAATTCCTACGCCTACACTCCGCACATGACTATCAAACAGTCGGGAAGGTCAATCGGCAGTGGTTGGTCTGCATCAACGTCTACAGATGATGAGTCCGTTATTTCCGCTACGTGTGTTAGTCATCTGCAGAAGGGCGAGGCAGTATGGGTGGAGTTTGAAAAGTTTGCATGGTGGGCAACTGCTGTCTCTGTTGTCCCAGGTGGCTTTGACACAAGGCCAAAATCCTTCTTTGGTGGTGCCCTTTTAACAGTGGACTAATTTTATTACCGGGCATCCACTTCAATCCATTAGGACCCTTTTAGCAGTTACCAAGCAACCAAAATGTGTGATCATGAAAATTTGTGAAGTCACTGGTTTACTTGAAACAAAATTCACTCATTCAACCTTGAGTTTGTTAGGTCCAGGACCTTATGATGACTTACGATATGGTCAGACACTGTGACTCTGCAGATTGTATCATATCTCAAAGACACGGGTTATGACCATGCCGTTTCCGCCTTGTCATCTAAGCCTCTATAATTTCACAGGTCACACTAAACAACAAACAATACAACGTAATTTAGTTATCATCATGGCCATTTCAGAAGCAAGATCTGTTTTGAAGCTGCAGTTATCTCTATGCTGATTGCCAGTAAATTATCACATGAATACTATGAGCAACCATCCACGCAACTATGTTGACATAACGTTTTCAAGATTCATAGGTGGCTAAGGATCAACATCTACAGGAGAACAAAATATGACCAATACCATGTTTTAAAATCATGTTTATTGCCTAAAGCATACACACATGATGCTAGAAGATCAGGTATTCCCCAGTTAGAAGTATTTCTGTAAGGGTTCTCCCAGGGTCCTCTCCATGTCCGCTATGACAGTCTGGCAGCGTTTCTCAACTTCTTCATTTTCATCTGACTAAACAAAAAGACAAACAAATTAAAATGAGTTCAGCTAGGAAAGGAATGGTCTCCGGTAGTAGTGGCAAGAAGTCATCCAGGAGCTTCTTGTGGAACTCTTCTATCACTTCCAGGGCAGAAAACTTGACCTGCACGATCATAACACATCTTGCAGTCATTGATTGATTGTTGGCTGTAAGTAATCGAATCTGGACCAGACAATCCAGTGATCAACAGCCTGACCATCGATCTACGCAATTGGGATACGATGACATGTGTCAACCAAGTCAGCGAGCCTGACCACCCAATCCCATTAGGTCCATCTTATGGCAAACATGGGTTGCTGAACACCAATTCTTATCTGAACTTTCGTGGGTTTGATTTAATTGTGACTTACTCGGTCAACGATTGGTTGCATGAGTGTTTCGAACCTCTCGGCAGATACAAAGCCATCAAACTGTCGTATAGGAAGCACTTGTATAGTGTGTCAAATACACAGGACAACAGCTGGGTAGACATCTTCCGGGACCGCTTGCTCTTACCGAAGTACCTGCCATCTGGTAGAAACTGACTTTATTGGTATACATGTACTTGGGTGAATATTACAAAGCTTGTACATGTCCTGATCACAGGAGACAATCCCAAACGTCCACACATATGCAGTCTTAAGGATCTACATACAGCACGATTCAAAGAAGCTGTAACCTACTTAGCAACGAATCTCCATAGGAAAACCAATGATAAATACAAACTAGCACAAAAGTTGGCGAAAATTTGGTCTGTCCTTCAGAAAACTGATACCAATAGTACAATATTTTCTCTTGTGGCAGCTTTAAGACAGTCGCCACTATATTTCCCATAAGATTTTGAGGTGTTTACCTTAATGCTGATTTCCTTAAAACATGCGCTCCAAAGCACGGAGCGATATGGATTGAAAGCCACTTTAAACAGTATGCATTTATATTGTGGTAGGTCAGCTTAATACAGGAGGAAAACCCGAAGTGATGCAGGTCTTAGACGCTTGGGACGCTGGTTATACCCATGTGCACGGGTATAGGGCTGACAAATCTAGAAACAACTAGAATCCACTATCATTGGTTTCTGGCATGTTCATGGGACAACTCTGCATTGTGCCCTACCGTGCCTCCACTAAAGCATTTAGAAAGGCAATGGTAAAAAAGACAACCAATTACAGCATCAGTTTTTCTATCTGTCTGGACATGTATGTGTGCATGCTTATATAAAACCTGAGAGCCATTTCACGCATCAGTGATAGTAAGAATGTGGATAATTTCATTTCTCTTCGTGGCCAAAAATGATCTCTCAAAACATGAAAAGTGTTCAGATTTCGTTCCATTTATGAGGCCCATTTCATGGCTGATAATAACAACTAAGAGCTGACCATGCCATAGTGCAAACGATTCAAAAGCAGTGAAAGTCGGTAAAATTAATGTGTACATAGTGAATTCAAAAACTCCTTTCGTACTCCTTGCACTGCATGCGTCATATTATGACGTCGTACGATTGTCAGCCATACAGCTTCTTGGCGGAGAGTTTGGCGGTAACCGTGGCAGCGGGTAATATTTTTCTCACTTGTCACCCTCCTGGGAAGGGTGATACGGAAACTTGTTAAAATGTCATTGACCAACGACTTAAGTATTTTATAAGAGGGTCAGATAATAGAGAATATAAGCAGTATGATCTGGATGATCCCACAGTTTCTCCTGCCTCCTTTACTGTACAAAGTGTGACTTTTCAACTTATCCGCCAGTCTGGAGAACCAGTCATCTGCAAAAGGACGAGGAGGTGTGGGTGCAGTTTGAACAGTTCCGTTCACGTATTCCATTAACAGTCACAGTTCTTTCAGGCAGCTATGTAGGAGATCCGATATCCTACTTTGGTGGTGTCCGTTTCACAATGGACTATTTCATTACCAGACGTCTACATCAACAACTTGTACGGGCAATCCAGACCGATCTGACTTTCTGAAGGGTAACGATAAAGTTAACCAATATGTGGGATGAATTCCATTCCTCTGTATTTTTAGCACACTTGTCGAGAAATCGAAGCCATACCAACACGCATCATCCGCGCCAGCACAATATTTAGAGGAACAATAACGGCAGCAGTTATCAACTGATTTTGGGTGATGGGGTAGCCTAGTGGCTAAAGCGTTCGCTCGTCACGCCGAAGACCCGGGTTCGATTCCCCACATGGGTACAATGTGTGAAGCCCATTTCTGGTGTCGCCTGCCGTGATATTGCTGGAATATTGCTAAAAGCGGCGTGAAGATAAACAGCTCGATGGCATGGCAGAAACCTATGATCGTTGGTTACGAATCCTATTATTTACCCTGCGCCATGCCTCTCAGCGCCATGCCTTTGCTGAAGGGTTTTACCAACCTGGCAAACGTGAAAGACAATCAAACACCAGGCTGGAATCTGTCTCATATGGGAGCTAATACTTGGGCTTGAATCTCCACACAGGTACAAAGTGTAAAGCCCATTTCTTGTGTCCCCACTGTGATGTTGCAAGAATATTGCGAAAAACGGGCTAAAATCATACTCACTCACTCAATAATTCACTCACTCATAAGAAGCACCAGCATGCCACATGCATATTTTCGGACTTCGTTAATCTTATCTGCAACTACGTCATGGGTAGAAGATTGTTCCGACATTTGGTTACGAATGTCTTGTGCATATCTCAGGAATGAGCCATGATTAAGCTGACGCGTAAGGATACATCAAACGCATGTAGTTCCCTAAATAAAACCAACCGAGGGAGTTTATTGAACATATTTGGCTGTTGATGTAAATGCCAGAGATTGATAAGGTATAAACTCTTTCCTTTAAACATAGTTTTTCCTTTCGAGTTTCGAGTTTTACATCACTGACTTCTCCATCACGTGATGTCAGACAGTTTGATAAGATATAACACCAGTGGCACGGCGCTATGTTCTACATGCGTGCAGTGCAAGTACTGCAGAGAGTTAGCCATGATGTTTGAAGCAGTTTTCCGTTTGTGTATATTCCTACCTTACATCTCCGGACTGATTCTGCCGTTAACGACATCCGACGGTACTGTCAACCTTACCAGTATCTTGAGTCACATCACTCTCCTTGAACAGACTGTGGACACTCTTCACAAACAAACACATCAGCTGCAGATAGAACATCGGACAACGAACGAAAGACTCCAGCTCACACAGGCAGATCTGAATATTACAAAACAGGAACTACAGATGTCTCGCACAGAACTCCAGGCAACAAAGGTCGACCTTCAACATACACAGACCGATCTTCAAACTACAAAGAAAGACCTTCAGATTGCCCAAACAGACCTCATGACAAAGGATTTACAACTGAAACATCTGAACTCAGGTCAGTGTGATAATAAAGTCTATTAGGAAAACCTATTATAATTTTGATAAGCCTAGTCACGAGATTGCTGTTTCAACTATACTCCTCACAAAAAGTTAAGCAACAAGTATTTTTTTCCACATATTTTCTTCATGGGTATATGAAGTTATTACTTGGCATATAAGCCATGCAGGAGAACCCTTTACGATTGATGAACTTAAAGCATTTCCCATATTGTTTTTCTGATAACATTGTTAGCACCGCCTGAACGCAACCACCCTCAAAACGCACATGCAAAATGCATGGAAAACATGTGCTATACACGTCGCACATGCGTTCTGATTGCGTTAAAACTGCCAGCAACGACAAATTGTTGACAGTAACATTTGAGAAATGGCTAGGCGTCACTTGACACCAATTGAAGTTGCTCAAATTGTTGAATGGTGCAGGGGGTCAGACCCAGAGTGCTGTTGCCAACCATTTCAATGTTCATCGAAGCGTCATCTCCAGAGCGATCACTCGTCACCAACAGACCGGATTGATGACTGAGAGACCACGCTCAGGTCGTCCAAGGGTGACAACTCCCAGAGAGGACCGATACTTGGCCACCTAGCCCGGCGGAACAGGTTCACCACAGCCAGATCTCTCCAGAATGACCTCCAGAGAGTTGCTGGGAACAGAATCTCCACACAGACAGTGAGGAACAGACTCCATGCTGAAGGTCTCAGGTCCCGAAGACCAGTGCAACGTATCCCTCTGCCTGCACACCATCGTCAACAGAGACTGAATTGGGCTAACCAACGACGTAACTGGAGAGTCAATCGCTGGCGTAATGTTCTTCTTCACAGATGAGTCAAGATTCTTGTCTGGACTTCAATGATGGTAGGGCTCGTGTGTGGAGAAACCGTAACGAACGATACGCCAACTGTACGATTGCTGAACATGATCAGTATGGAGGTGGGAGTTTGATGATCTGGGCAGGAATCCAAGTTGGACGACGAACTGATCTTGTGGTCATCAGACGAGGTACCATGACAGGTGTGAGGTACCGAGACGAAATTGTCACACCTGTGATCATTCCGTGGGCTCAGCAAGCAGGTCCTAACTTCATCTTCATGGATGACAATGCCCGTCCACATCGAGCAAGAGTTGTCACTGATGTTCTTCAGACCAACAACATCACCCATATGGACTGGCCTGCAAGGTCTCCTGACCTGAATCCTATTGAACATGCTTGGGACATCCTCGGAAGGCGTGTGTAATGGCCTCCACGTTCGTCCTCAGACTCTGATCAGCTTGAACAGGCATTGCGGAGAGAATGGCAGAACATTCCACAACAGACTCTAGACAGACTCATCTGGACAAGGCCTAGACGTCTTGAAGCGTGTATTCAGGTCAATGGTGGCCATACACGTTATTAAACTTTGGATCAGTGCTCAAAACTGACAGTAAAAGTGTTTTCAGACATTTTCATACCCTGATGCAACACATTTTGCACGGCTTTTTCAGTGACACTGTTTTTGATGATTTGCAAGTCAGTTATTGTTCAATGAATTTTGATTTCTTTGTTGGAAAAGTGTGTGGATATGCTTTATCTTTGTTATGTTTGATTCAGTTGTAATGATCATGAGTAAAGGCATATGTACTGACCAAAAATACACTTGTTGCTTAATTTTTTGTGAGGAGTATATAATTAGTGTCTGAAAATACTTAAAATTCCTTTGAAAGGCGACTTGGCATTTTGACTGGTCGTACTCCAATGTCTGGGTGACTTGGCATTTTGACTGGCCGTACACCAAGGTCTGGGTGACCTGACATTCTGTCTGGTCGTACACCAATGTCTGGGTGACCTGAAATTTTGACTGGTCATACACCAATGTCTGGGTGACCTGATATTTTGAGTGGTCATACACCAATGTCTGGGTGACCTGATATTTTGAGTGGTCGTACACCAAGGTCTGGGTGACCTTACATTTTGACTGGTACTCCAATGTCTGGATGACTGGGCATTTTGACTGGCACTCCAAGGTCTGGGTGACCTGACATTTTGACTGGTCGTACGCCAAGGTCTGGGTGACCTGACATTTTGACTGGTCCTATACCAAGGTCTGGTTACCTGACATTTTGACTGGTCGTACACCAATGTCTGGGTGACTTGGCATTTTGACTGGTACTACACCAATGTCTGGGTGACTTGGCATCTTGACTGGTCCTACACCAATGTCTGGGTCACTTGGCATTTAGATATGCCGTACACCAAGGTCTGGGTGATTTGGCATTTAGATATGCCGTACACCAAGGTCTGGGTGACTTGGCATTTAAATATGTCGTATAGGTGATATTTTGACAGGTTGTACAGAAACGTCTGAGTGACTTGGCACTGCCTGAGTTTGTGTGCCAAATGTTCTGGGGTGCTGTTTGTGTTTCTACCCACTGTTTGTCTGCTGCAGTCAATTGTTAAATCACTATCAGTTTAAACGTTGAGAGTTGATACTTGCAAACGTGCAAGGATTCTTCCATATACAGTACAGAAACATTGCATTATATATTCAAACACCAGTTCCTTTACCGCAGTGTCCGAAACCTGCGCCGAGGCTTTCCAGGTTTTTTATCAAGTTCCTACAACGTAACATCACTAGAGCCCGTGGTGTACGACAGCATCATCTACGACACTGGATTTCGCTACAACACCACGACTGGGGTGTTCACAGCACCGGTGAACGGAACCTACATGTTCTGGATACAGTTGGGCATTCGTCCCCTAAGGTATTATCCATCCACTTCGATCAAACAATCGGGAAAGACAATCGGCAGTGGTTGGGTTGCATATTCCTCTTCTTCCGAGGGCGCAGTTTCCGCTACATGTGTCAGTCATCTGCAGAAGGACGAGGAGGTTTGGGTGCAGTTCGAAGAGTTCCGTGGAGATAATCCAACAACAGTCACCGTTCGTTCAGGCAGCTATGTAGGAGATCCGATATCCTACTTTGGTGGTGTCCTTTTAACATTGGACTAATTTAATTACAGGATATCTGCTTTAACAGTTTTGTCTAATTCATCCAAACTTCATTGGCCTTCATTATCTTACAATACTTGTACTGGCAACCTAGAGCGATCTGACTTTCTAAAGGGTAATCATAAAATTAACTAATATGTGGGATGAATTTCTACACGTATCTGTATTTTTAGCACATTTCGACAAACCGAAGCAATACCAACGCGCATCATGCGCGCCAGTATAATGTTTAGGAGCAATAACGGCAGCAGTTATCAACTGATTTGGGGCAATGGGGTAGCCCAGTAGTTAAAACATTAGACCCAGGTTCGATTCCCCACATGGCTACAATGTGTAAAGCCGATTTCTGGTTCCCCGCGGTGATATTGTTGGAATATTGTTAAAAGCGTCGTAAAACTAAACACACTCACTTA